TAGAGTCTAGATTTAGATCTAGATTTAGATATCAAGATCTAATCCTCCTGCGTCTTTACCGTACTTTACGGCAATTTTCGTGCAGTCTTCCATCATGTCCAAGTAGGCCAACTATCTAGATCTAGAATCTAGAAGGAAGAGGCTAGCCGTACTTAATGACTTATTAATATGATGGCTAGACTGACCATATATACATCACATTAGTGTGCATAAAATGTGATGCATTAGTATTTATTACTCCAAAACTTATAATAAATATGTTAAATATAGGATGTAGAACCTGCATTACCAGTTTCAGACCCAGTGTCAGCTTTACAATCTTGAGTTTGTAAAGAACTGGACTGTCATTTTGAGCACACCAATGCAAACTTCCAAGAATGTCCAAAATTTAGTATTTTTGGGTGGGTTTTTTTAACCTGCGCTTTGATTCTATGCTATTTGTGATCGCAAAAGGTTCACTTGCTCAAGAAATCGGTTTCTTTGTTTGCAAAAACGAATATATAATTCGGATCCCTTGTGCGTCAGTGGTGTCGTCATGGACTAGGTGTTTCAGAAAACACCATTATTTTTCAGTAGAATCCCCACAGCTGGCTAAATCTTTTTTATTTTCGTCGTTTATTCAATAGTTCGAAAGCCGTGATGCGCGAAAGGAACATCGGGTTCCTAGATCTACGATTTCGGTCTGCTGTTTAACATTCGCCGTTAATGGCGTCACTTTGCGACGTACCGGAAGTCCGAATTTTAGCCTACTTTTGTTTTGAACGGATCAGATCAACAGTGCCTGGATATAATTGTTTTCTTGAGTGACTTCCCCTTACCCGCTTCCCCAGAACAGCGGAAGCAACGGGGAAAGAGAATTTAAAAACGAAAGTAATCATTGCCGTCACCCTCCGGTTACGCACAAGAATCTCGCGTTGAATGTGACGTACTGGACTGTTTTGCGTGTTTTTAGGCTACCCTATTGAATATTTTAGTGAAATTGCGGTGTTTACATTGGATTCCTGGAACAAGAGTATGATGTGTGAACAAACTTCGAGAGATGGATCATTTCTGTGGTTATAGATTTAGCTTTTACTTTTGTGCTTAGTGATGATGTTTGGGGTGTCGTCATGCAGCCGTACAAGACTGACTGACGTACTAGAAATTACATTTTGTCCTAAGAGCAAACATTTTTTATGTCATGTGTGCTCTTTATACTCAAACAAATAGACAAACATGTCCTTGTTTATCTGTCTAACTCAAAAGTACACATTTGTTCTTTGTTGGCATGATTTATATAAGCCTTTTTCCAATACATTGTGTCATTGTGTCATCATTGTCATGTACAAGTAACATTTTTCATAATTGCTATATATATCAATAAGTTTTCAACATATATTTCATGGAAGAGGCTAGCCGTACTTAATGACGGCTAGACTGGCACTCTAGCCGTACTTAAGTACGGGTAGACTCGCAGTCTAGCCGTACTTATTCTTATATGATGGCTAGACTGACCATTTACAAAAAATAGGCCTACTGAATTGTAAATATACATTTTTAGTGTGCAGTACCTAAAGTATTTGTGTATTTGAGACGAAACCAGGTGCCTTAATGACAGTGCATGTATTTTAAACCTCCTGTTTTCTAATGTTAATTAATAGGGCCTAAGACCCTAAGATAAGTACGGCTAGACTGGCAGTCTAGCCGTACTTAAGTACGGGTAGACAGCCAGGCTAGCCGTACTTAAGGACGGCTAGACTGTCAGGCTAGCCGTACTTAATATTGATGGCTGAATTGTAAATGAAATTTTTAGTTTGCAATGCCTAAAGTATTTGTATTTCAGACAAAACCAAAAGTTACATTACTGACTTGCATGTATTTGAACCTGAATAATTACTAGATCTAGATCTAATGAGACTTGTGTACTTAACAGGCTTGAGTCGATATGGCCAAACCTAGATCTAAGTACGGCTAGACTGGCAGTCTAGCCGTACTTAAGTACGGCTAGACTCTCAGTCTAGCCGTACTTAAGTACGGCTAGCCACTTCGATATTTCATTAGAAACAAAATACGCCTTTATTGATCTGTGTATCTCATAGTGCAAATTTGTTCTTTGTAGGCATGATTTTACCTTTTCCCAGTATGTTTTTGTCATCACTGTTATCATGTACGAGTACTGTTTGTCATAATTAGCAACGTAATTGTGATTGTCTACTGTATTTGATATGACCTGATATCAGTTTCAAAGCAAAAGAAACCTCTCCTGGGTTGTTTTTTTATTCTTAAAGTGTGTATTTCTCTCTGGAGGCATGACTTTGTCTTTTCCTGTACATTGTGTCATCATTGTATGTACAAGTCATGTTTGTCATCACTGTTCACAAGTCAGCCCATTGATTTTGTGCTTTTGCCTCATATTAGTTAAAAAATTGTTTTACACATGTGTTTTTCTGGTGCTGAAGCTTTGATAACTGTATTTGTACAGCCTTTCACTATTGTGATGTGTTGTCAATGATATGTCCAATGACCAATGTGTATCCTTTCTTGTACATAACAATGATGACATGTTCTGTGACAACTCAATTAAAATAGATTGTACACGAGTTGCACAAAAGGAAAAATGGGGAACTGGTCGCGCTTAGGTTAGGGCACGGTCACGCCAAGGGCCGATGTCTCTAGAATAAATGTTATAAAGAAGAGGCCTAGATCTAGATCTAGACCTAACCCTACCCTTACCCCTACCCCAAGCCCTCAATTCTGCTCTGTCTCATAGCGGAAGCTCGTTACGGAAGTCCTCCCTCTACTCTAGATATCTAGGAAATCCGAAATGTTACCGAAAACACGTCGTTCCATGTGGGTATCCCTCGAAACTAGATCAACGATTTATGTCTGTATTCTAGATCTAGATTAGGTCTACCCTGAGCCAAGAGGGCGCTGAAACTTTCCGAAATCACAAAAGAGTTCCCCTACCGGGTCTACTTTACTTTTTGTGACTTTGTTCCCGGTTACCGGGTCTGTATCAGACGCTCCCTATCGATAATTGATCCCTTCCTTTAAAAAACAAGTAAGCTAATGCTGTGAACGCAGATCTATACTCGTATCTAACATTTTAAGAATGTATAAACATCAGTGTATCTTACCTCCGAAGACATATCCAAATGGTGTTATTCTATCATAAGAAATGCGTTGAAAAACAGTAGGGGCCTATGCAGGACTTGCCAACTCTCAGTCGTATAAACACCGACACATTCGAGGGGAGTAACTCTGCCGTCTGCCGTCTGCTGTCTTTTCTTCTTCAATGTTCTTCTTCTTCGTCTTCTTCTTTTCCCGTTTATTATTATTATTACATGACGTACATTTATTATTATTATTATTATTATTATTATTATTATTATTATTATTATTATTATTATTTAAGTGTTGTTATTGTTGTTGTTGCTGCTGCTGCTGCTGTTGTTATTGTTTGTTTGGTAAATGTTTTGGTACTCGCAACAGCATAAGATCAAATGAGTGCACTGAAAACAATCTAACATTTATTAGGCATCTCAGTTTGGTTGGAATTTGGAGTTTTGCCTGGGTGGCAGCCGAAGCCTAGCCTACTCTTATCGATTTTCGGACCACCAAGGGATCTTAACGAGCGAAACTTGCACACTGGACCTCCGAGATTGTTCGCCCCCATCGGAGAAGGCTTGGTGTTAGATCTTACCTATCATGAGATCGGGGGTGTGGTTGAAAGACAGCAGTAAGAAAGAGCCATGGAGTATTAGTAGAGAAAAGCTGCTGTCTGCAGAAAGAGTCAGGAGTCAGGAATCCGGAATGTGAGGCAAAGTGGATATATATTGTATCATTATTATCATTAATTATTATTATTAATTATTAATTATTCTCCTGGAGAAGATGTGTCAGTGCATTGGGCCTCAGCCATTGCCTTGTAGTCCAGTCCCAATGTGGTCTGGAAAATGGCTCGGGACAAACAGTCTGCAACAACGTTCTCCTTCCCTGAAATGTGCTGTATGTCCGTGGTAAATTCTGAGATGAATGTCTGGTGACGTTGCTGGCGAACTGACCAGGGTGGGGATAACTTGGACATACATGAGGTTTGTGATCGGTGAATGCTGTGAAGCACCTACCCTCAAGCAAAAATTGGAAGCGACAGACGGCAAGATCATCATCATTGCCTTTCTCACCCTGCACCAGGGTATAGGCCACGGACAAAC